GTGGGTGTGGTGTGTGTGTGTGTGTGTGTGTGTTGTGTGTGTGCGTTGTGTGTGTGTGTGTGTGTGTGTATGTGGTGTGCTGTTGTGTGGTGTGTGTGCTTGGTGTGTGTGTGTGTGTGCGTGCGTGTGTGTGCGGTGTGTCGTGTGCATGTGATGTGTGTGTCGTGTGTGTTACGTGTATTGCGCGCTGAATTCCCGTGTGTGTGTGTGTGGGTGTGTGTGTGTGTGTGTGTGTGTGTGTGTGTGGTGTGTTGTGTGTTGTATGTGTGTGCTGTGTGTGTGTGTGTGTGTGTGTACGTGTATGCGCGCGTTGTGAGTGGGTGTGGTGGTGTACGCGCGCGCTGGCGGTGTGACTGGTGCTGTGGCCTGTGTGTTGTGTGTGTGTGTGTGTCGTGTGTGTGTGTGTGTGTGTGCGTGTGTGGGCGTCGTGGTTGTGTTGTGTGTGTGTGTGTGACTGTGTGGTGTGTGGACTTGTGTGTCTCGCTGCGTGCGTGCGACTCGCTCGCGCCCCCCGCTCCGCCGTGTGTGTGTAGGGCTTTGCTTTGCATCACAGCAGTTACCGAACTACAAACGCATCGACGCTTATGTGTGCTTTAATATCAATCCAAACGAGAGTGAATAGAGTAGAAGAGCTAAACGATTTTCTTAGTAAGCAAATTAGGACTTTAATGAGCTAAATAAGTACACAACATTCTACCAGTATTGAGTGCAGTCTCCTCTATTGTCCCGAGATCGAACCTACTCGCCTATCTCTCAAATCTTGAACTCAACTTATTAGTCTCTCTAAAATCTAACCTGTTCTATTTCTATTTGCCCAAAATTCCAAACTCTACTTATTTCTTCTCTAATCCATCAAACGCCTTCCCCCTTGATTCCTAGCTCTATTTATAATCTGATTGTAAACAATGGTAAATACAAAAACACAAGCGCTTGCAGCTGTTGGCAGTGGACCGTAGATGTCACAGATTCAGATTCCATGAATTTTTTTCATTTTTTAATTTTGCACTTTTCCATCAATGTTGTACAGATTAATTTCAAGAGAGTATAAAAAGGGCAGATGAAATAAATAATATTATAGACTAACGATAGGTTTAAGGTGAATGTTACGTTAGTGCGTCAAAAGTCAGCCAATAAGCTTTCGAGTTGGACCCCTACCATAGGTAATAAAAAGTCTGAGGGAAAAGCTACAATTAAAACATAATATTAGGCAAATAAGAAGAGAACAAAATATATACATACAACATAATGGACACGTATCTAGAACAAAAAATACAATTGCTGTAACTAACTAACTAAAGAACAAGAAAGCAATTATTAACTATATAATATAAACTAATTTCTAATGGCCCTAAATAACATACACTAATTAATTGAACATTTCTGGTTGTCTACGTACAAAAATATAAAAAATATATATACATATATACATATGGAACAGTAGAACAAAATACAATTGAGGTAACAAGTACAAGAACAGAAAAGCATTTATATTATATATATAACTAATTTCTAATGGTCCTAAATAACATACACTAATTTAATTGAACATTTCTGGCTGTCTACGTACAAAAAAAAATATATATACATATATACATATATAATGGAACAGTAGAACAAAAATCACAATTGATGTAATAAGTATAAGTAACAACAAGAGCAAGCAAGCAATTATAATATTAATATATAACCATAACTAATGGTCCTAAATAACACGCAGCTAATTAATTTAATTGATTATTACATGGCTGTCTAGAAGGAATAGTTATAATCATGTTTCAAATTTACTGTGTGGCGGGAGGGTTTTATATTCAAGAGGAATTGCCAATCAGACTGCACTTACATGACAATGACGTAACAACAAACATGGACGAGCGAATTGTGACGACAGACGCATGCGTGGATCTCCTTGCTTATCCGTCCTCTCCATTATATTAATTCAGTTGGTTTCTCCCTTCAGTGTTCTATTGGTTTCTCCTTCAGTGTGTCATGTTTCTCACTCAGTGATCATGGTTTCTCACTCAGTGATCATTGTTTCTCACTCAGTGATCATGGTTTCTCATTCAGTGATTATGGTTTCTCACTGCAGTGTTCATGGTTTCTCACTCCAGTGATCATGGTTTCATGAGTGGTCATGGTTTCTCACATCAGTGATCATTGTTTCTCACTCAGTAGTTCATGAGTTTCTGCCCTCAGTGTTCATGGTTTCTCACTCACGTGTTCAGTGATTCTCTACTCGAGTTTGATCAATAATCTGGTTTCTCCTCAGTGATTCATGTTCTCCACTCAGTGTTCATGGTCTCACTCACGTGTCTCACGCTCATCACTGAGTGATCTGGTTTCTCCCTCAGTGTTCAGGGTTTCTCAGTCAGTGTTCATGGTTTCTCACGTCAGTGATCATGGTTTCTCCCTCAGTGTTCAGGGTTTCTCACTCAGTGATCATTGGTTCTTCACTGAGTGATCATGGTTTCTCCCTCAGTGTTCATCGGTTTCTCACTCAGTGATTATGGTTTCTCCTCAGTGTTCATGGTGTTCTCACTCAGTGATCATGGTTTTCTCACTCAGTGATCATTGTTTCTCACTCAGTGATCATGGTTTCTCACTCAGTGATTATGGTTTCTCACTGAGTGTTCATTGTTTCTCACTCAGTGATCATGGCTTCTCTCTCAGTGATCATGGCTTCTCTCTTGTGATTATGGCTTCTCCCTCGTTGATCATAGCTTCCCCCTTTGTAATTGGTTTTATGGTAATTCATAATGCACTTGCAGCATTCTCGCTGCCAGGTTATCCTCCAAAGCATTATGGTATGACCGATTTTTGACCCTGCCAAAAGTCAATGAACAGACATTTATGTATAACTAGACACACTGCCCGTTGCCACTGCCGTAGACACTGCCGTGTATGTTTATATTTATTTCTATAAAAAAAAACTTTTTTATTAAGTGTTAAAACAATATATTAACTCATATAAGATTCGATAGGTGGTGCGGTTCGTTTTCATTAGAGGTGTTGAACAACAGTAGAGGGCGTCCATAGGCTGCAGGCCAGAATCAAGCATCGAACAGAAATTAATTAAAAATACGCACACTGTTACTGCGCTTACAAACATACACTTTATTCATGTTAAATAACTACAGCATTCGTGCTCTATGCTCCGCTCGAAACTTTTGCCAGCTCTATGATGGCGAATTCTACAGAGTAGTCGGATCCGTTTCATACACAAAAATGGCCGACCGGCGACCATGGCTACGCGCCACTAGCAGCAATGCGCACAATTACACAACACGAATAATTTTACTTCTAATGCTTTCTAGACGTTCACGAGGCATCTACCTTGCGTGCATAATGCAAATTATTGCACATCTAGTGCCTAATTTCGGCGGAAAAAAAATGCCAAAAAGGCCTTTTCTAGAGACGAAATAGTGCAACGGTGAACAATTGCGGCAGCTTACTGTTGTACACCACTTAGAGCCCCGCGCTCGGCTGCAAAAATTTCCCACTATTTTAATGTTTTTGAACGTGGAATGTGAAAAAAATGGAACTGTGAAAAAGAAAATAGCCCATGTAACGTGTCATGATCTGTAGAATGTTCCGACCCAAGTTTGGAGAGGATCCGTTGGAGCGCTGGGAAACGTATAGCCGGACAGAAATCCCCAATTTATAGTAAGATTCCCACAAACAACCCATATAAGCCTTTTGCACTAGTTAGAAATTTGATCAGCAGTCTATAAAATATGGCAAAGTAAAATGAAATGCAACATTACATCAAAGGCAACATGCACTTTACAATGCAGCATGTTCAACAGCATCAGAAAGAAGATATGGCTTGGTTTGTCTTTTCTTCTCAGAGATCTGAGCGCTGCGGTCAATTAACAACCCATATTAGAGAGAAATATAAAAGGCAATAGTTTGGAAACACATTTTACACTTGTAATATATTTTATAGAAGACATACTTGTAATGTCAGGAGCCTACTGATAGACTCCTGATAATGTGTTCTCCTGCTTTATTGGCAGGTTTGGAACTATGGAAATGTCGTCAATTACAGCAGTGATCATGATTAAGTGGAGACCACGTTCACTATTTTGTTGTTGTGGCTTGCTTCTACATTATAAACATAAGTTTGAGCTCCTGCGGTTTGACAATGGACCGTTGGCTGACTGCAGTTTGATAAAGTGCTGCTGTGTCATCATCAATGTCAATGCAGTATGTGTGCCCTGTGGTTTGATAACGAGCTTTTGCTCCAAGTGGTTTGCTTGCTGCTCCATACCTTAGGGGAGGTTGCCAAATAAATGATTAACGTAACGTAACACGTTGTATCCATCAACTGTTGTTATCCCTCACAAGTGCAGAGCACATCTTTACTCCAGCGCCTGCCGACATGGTATCAGAATTGTCCTGCAATCCACACGTGTATGAGAGTGAAAGAGCTGATTTACATCTACACACGGATGCTAATATGCGAAATTTCGAAGCAAAATTTGGGAATCAGAGAGTCGCGTTCTGCATAGCAGCCAGGATATGTCCGAGACAAAGGAATTAATAATAGTGGGAAGTTTTTGTGGAACCACTGAAGCAACTTGAAATTTACTGTGCTAAATACCAGCTCATTCCTGTAGAAAAAGTGGCAGGGGAAGTTTGGTATATACCTACAGGCCATTGGGGCCACATCAAAGCTAGTGAGCAGCAATGTAGGACTAAGTGAGTGGTGAAGCTTTACCACGCCTGGTCCTCCCAAACCAGAGCCATCTCTAGCACTGTTTCATGAACAGGGGAAATATCTTCTTCTAAGGCAAATGGGAGATAGACAGCAAATGCAATGCGAGATAGAACGATAGGTAATGATCAGGTAGGTAACGAAATGAGCAGAAAACAGTGGATAATTAATTACTGATTAAACATCTAATGAGTAAAAGTGTTAATCCTGTAAATTTTACCTGCTTTTCTTTTGTGATAATAATTTCGGTCAATGCGCCCCACGCATTATGAAAAAGTAGACGTACCTTATCTTGTGTGTGTGATTGATTTTAGTACTGGGGACAGCTCAGGCCGGGTTTTGCGCCTCCACCAATATTGACCGTCTTTTGCACTAGAAAAGAAACGATAAGAAATTTGAAATGAAGCAGCTAATCCAATTAGGATCACCTTTGGAAACCAGTGTCAACGTTTGTAGCATAACTAACTATTCCAGGAGTGAGGTTGCTTCTGTGATATGCGAGTCTGTAGCTAGCGGTGTCACCATTGTGATATGCGATGAAAAGTATTATCCTTCTAATAGTTGTTTCTATAGTAGGAAGCATAGTAATCTGTGCACTTTATAAAACCTCATGCCTATATATTAAATATCAGGTCTACACTACATGCCAGGTTTGAATTCGGGTAAAGCAAATGAAGCTATATCTATGTCATGTAGCATGTGTACAGAAATTCGATAAAGGCCGTAAGTGTCATGAGCCTTGTAATGTTTTATTCTGCCAGTTTGATCATGGTAAGTTCTGTTGTGTTAGAGATTGCTTTGGTATTAATCACAGTTCTTTTTATAGTTCTTTTGATTGAACACCAGGGTGCCTTAATTTTGGAATGGGGTGTGGTAAATTTTGAGAGTGGCCACCGAGCTGGCAACTTAACATGGGGTTTAAAGTAAATATATAGGACTGGCAAGGGTTTGGAGGAACGTATAGCCCATTCAAAGTGGGCAGATGCCGAACGTCTCCCGTTCTACCCTAACTAACTTAGCAGTAAACATAGCAGGCCATTGTTTCAGTGCTTGTGCACATTTTGATCTTTCACCTGATCAGGTTTTCTTACAGAAGTATAGTTACAGATTTTCATTGTGCCGTATGGAAGTCTCTGGTTGAGGTTTTCTAGATTTCATCATCACAGGTTGTTTGTTTCATTGGACTGAAGCTGCGGTGGTAAATCCAGGTCTTGTTTGTGCGGTCTTACCGAAGGGATCAGCACACATGCAGGAATTAACCTATGAGCAATAATGGTTCTGAAATTAATTACTTACAAGCTTATACCTGAAATGTTTAAACTGTTACAGACTGAAAATATACACACATATGCATATACATACATTAAAAATATTTGTGCAAGAAAGAATAATATGTAATGTATAATTGTAAAAGAATATTATGTATTTCTGCTCGATTTTCACAATGCTTACCTTCGTGTGATCATCGTATCCTAATAAAGACAACCAGTCAGTCTGTCCGTCTAACTCTCACACACACACACACTCTCTCTCTCTCTCTCTCTCTCACTCACTCACTCACTCACTCACTCACTCGATTCTAGGACAACTACCCCCTGGACAATTACCCACCGGACAATTACCCCCCGGACAATTACCCACCAGGACAATTACCCACCCAGACGATTACCCACCCGGACAATTACCCACCAGGACAATTACCCACCAGGACAATTACCCACCGCCACATTTTTGTCACACAATTCACCACAGCCACTCAGCCTGTCTCCACCCGCTATACGTTTAACTTGCGGCAATC